TGTGAATCTTTGAGTTTCTCTCTGTACCTGTTCTGTAGCACTGCATTTATATGACGAATCGTGAATAAACTGCTGACATGCCCTTGTCAGTAATATAGTATGATTAAAATCGGTGCAAACGAAACATTATAAGTGCGTTTCTGGTTGCTAGCGCACAGAAATAACCAACCTGTAGAGTGAACAAGCCCAAACCGCCGCAGAGGTGTTTATAAAAGGACAACAGGGCTTATTTTCTCGGGAAGATACGGGGTTTTGTACAAACACAGGCCATAGCTGCTAAAACAGTGAGTCTGTCATAAAATTGGAGCAACGGTGATCAAGTTTTGCACCTTCTTCACCGGCGCAGAATGCTGCTGTTGTGATTGAATTTTGACATTTGAATTACATTCCCAGAAAACTGCTGGCAGTCTGGCAAAGTCTGATATGTAATAAGACAACGCCAGTTACAAAAGAAAGGCTCTCAGTGCCACCTGTATATTTTTACACTGTGAAGAAGAAAACGTTGTCCATTAATTTAACGTAATATGACATTCACAATAGTGTATAATGTAATTGCCACTCGCTGCACGTAAAGAATGAAGTTCACTGGGGAGCAAGCGGAGAGCCATATGCGTCAGTACTCAGCACAACGCCTCCACGGTTCTGACCCTTTCCATAACTGGTAAAATGTGCTTACACGGAACGTCAGACTTTCGCCTTCGTTAGTGAGGGGTGCTTTACCTGGGGTCCATGGACCCCCAAGGGGTCCCTCAGTGGGTCTTAGGGGGTCCGTGGCCATTCGTCTTCCAAGAAAAAGAGTGAGAGAAATATTTTTGTTCAGATTGTTTATCTATGTTTTGTGCATGTCATGCACCGTCTGAGCGTAGGAGACAAAGTTCAATAAAATATATTCATTGCATATACAATTGAGTTTATGTGCTTATGTGCACATTTTCAGAAGGAGGTTCTTAGCATTCACCAGATTCAAAAAGGGGTCACTGACACAATAAAAGGTTAAGAACCACCGTGCTAGATGAAGCGCTACAGAAACATTGAAGTATCTGCATGCAACGGCATAGGAGAGAGTTTGATATGGGGGGGGCGGGGGGGGGCACAACTTAATTTCAAAGCTGGGGTCTTGTTTCCTACACCCTCGACTGCATATTATGATGCATATAGTAATCATTCCATCCACTTTTCTTGCTTGGGTTTCTGGGAGGAAGATCTAAAGTTCATCCCATTCAGCACCTATGTCATTAACTGCCAGGTGCAGGAGGTTGGATCCAGGTGCAAATCGATGGGGTTTAGTGAACAAGGCACTCCACAGATATAAGGGGTAACAGTAACGACACAGACACTGCCTCCAACAACAACAGCACTTACAACGACAAATGCTCAACTGAGAAGCCAGGACTTAAACCCTTAAATATAAGGTGCCACACATGAGGACACTCAGGGCAGGATACAGTGGGTAATCCTAATAGTACCCCACTCCCAAGGTATGGCAGATACCCTAAAACAATGTGGACTTGTAGGTGATTCCTTTGAGGCAGCACGGACCGGCCTGGTGTCTGCCTGAGGTCCCTGGAGACCTGACCTGCGGAGGCCACAGAATGGAACAAAGAGCCGACTGGTAACGAGGCTGGAGCAGACCAGAGACAGGACTGGGCTGGTGACTGGAGGCAGAACTCTTCAACACGACAGGAGAGGCAGTGCAAACCAGTGAGAACCCGACTGGCATCAGCCTGGGGTCCCTGTATTACCAGCCTGCAGAGGCCCCTGGACTCCTAGACACAACAGGAGACAAGACCTCAGGACTCGAAAACATAACAGAGGACAGGACCGGACAGGTCAAGACACAGGGCTGTGATCAGGACGTCTGAATATGGCTGGGATCTACTTGGGGTCCCCAAATTACCAGCCTGTTGAGGGAGACCTGAAATACAGCAGCTCCTGGCAACGCAGAAGTGTGGAGGGCACAGGCCCATGGAGAGGGACGAGCTGCAGGACTGGGCATAGGAGAGCTTGGGACACAGGCAATGAAGGACCAGGCTCCTGGGCTCAGGACCAGTGGGAACAAGACTCCCACACTCGGGGACCAGGGGGAACAGGGCTCCAAGACTTGTGAAGCAGCAGGAACAGGGCTCTCCTGAGTCAGGCTTTGGACTCAGGAAGAGGGCTCTGGGACTTTGGAACAGATCACGCTGCATCCCTTGGCTTGGAGTCGAGCATAATGCCACAGACGGTCAGGCACAGGTGAAGGGAGATAGGGATGCAAGTGTGAGTACATGGGGTTTAATAAACAAGGTATAGTATGCACACACGAGTGGTAACAGCGAGGCCATGGACACCTAGGAGGGCAAATGCTCAACTGAGAAGCCAGGGCCTAAGCCTTACATAATTAGGGCAGGATAACTAGTAACATCCTGGGCAAACATTATCGGTAGGCCTGACAGCCTGACTGTGGTACACCCTGGATTGCAATGCAGTGCATCGCAGTCCACATACACATAGTAATAACAGGGGCGCCGATTAGCCTAAGTGCCGGAGTAAACCTGCATGACATGAGGCGACATCCGCACACACAGAAGGGAGGTGGGACTCACACCCCAAAGCTGGGAACATGAGGTAAAAATGCCCCCCTCAGACCATCCACAAGCCTGAACAATAATCACCCTTATAATAATAATGCCTTATGGTACCTGCTCCCTCATCTGCTCTGCTGTGTAATGTGTGTTTGTATCTATCGTAAGTTGTTCCCATTTTAGAGGTTCATGTACTTATTCCTTGACGTATTTTCACACAAATGATTCTCAGTGCCTGTAAACAGCTCATCTGCTTCGCACCTCAATAGTCTGCTGTAACACGTCACTTTGTACTTTTCACAGTAACCAACACTCCAGAGTAAATGTGCCTTTATCGGCTTTTCCAGCAGTGAACTTGAATTAATACATGAAAACAAAATATATAAAATTATTGCATAGACTGCTAATATTTATCACTTGTAAAATGGCTTGTGTTTTAAGACACAAGCAAATACCATCTGCACAAGATCTTTTCTTGTGTCTTTTAATCTGGAGCTTTCTCGTAATCATCACTGGAGAAAGATCTTTATGGGATGGTGAAGATTTAGTCCATTTATGCCCATTTTTTCGAGACAAAAGACAGGCAGACAAAGGCAATTGTCCTACTGAAGATTAGCATTTTGCTAAAACCAGCAGCCTAAGTGGCCGTTGTAAACAACACGAATACTGTACGTTGCAGTTTGATTAAAAGAATTCACTAGTGCCCATATATTTTTTGTCCCAGTATAATTGTAAAATATTTGGCAGCGAGCAGAGGTGGACATTTCAGGTCCGGAAAGTAAAAATCCAGACCAGGATTTTGTTTCAACCAACCTGCTGAGTATAAAGATTCACAGCCATATAGTACTCAGCTGGTTGGTTGAAACAAAATCCTGGTTTGGATTTTTACTTTCTGGACCTGAAATGTCCACCTCTGGCAGCGAGATGTGAGTAATCATTTTCAGATTTAAATAAATCTGGACATTTTTTTTTTACGGCATCACATTTCCTATTAGTTAGAGGAGTCTTAGATAATACCCACCCTATTATCCCTGTTGTTTTTCCCGGTGGCTTCATTACACACGTACTGTTCAGAAGAACTGCAGCCTGAGATCCTCTCATTGAAGTTTCACTGCTTCCGCACTGGTGCATTCAGCTGCTGAAATTATTTATGAGACTTCAGACCAGAGGATTACAAATGATACCACAGTTTGTATTGGCTTGGAATTTGTAAATATAAAAGCAGAAGTGTATTCTTGAACTAATAGCTAAATTATATTATAGCAGGTATTGTTATAGCATTTCACTACTGAATAAGCCAGACCACAGGCACGCCTTAGACACCAATGCGCCCCTAAACCAACCGAACAACAGTCTGACGGCCAAACGGCAGGCGGGTTCCCCCTTCAACAGCCTCCCTAGGTGCCCCCAGCCAGCAGGTACAGGGGTTCAGGCTCAGGTACAGCCCCCCTAAATCATACTTTGCCAAATAGGGAGCTCCTCAAGAACAACAAGAAGGAAGTATTTACAGTGGAAATATACCCTCCTCCCAGACCAGGATGCCGCATTACTTTTTCTAATTAGCCATTAGTGTCGACATCAACTTCAGCTAAGCTGCTTATACAGGTTTGGTACATAAATCATAAATCTGGGATGCCAAAAGACAGCTGCCATAAGGATGGTTCACAGGGGACTTTTATTCGGAATAATGCATTTCTGTTTGCTAATTTCATTAGCCCATTGAACCTATGTAGATAAGCACAGATGCTGATTGAGGTGGCCTCATTTAGGAAGGTACTGTTAAATTAGCACGGGCAAATGGATGCTTTCCTGCAGCATGTCAAAGTGACTGATGCATCTTCGGAAGCATCCAGAAGCAGCGGGCTTTGGCTTTCCGAGTGGGCACAAGGTAGGGACCAATGAGCTTTGGTACTGCCAGCCCTGCCCACGCCTTCTGGGAGAGCGCTGTCTCATCCCTGCCCCTGCCTGGCGCACTATAAGGGGCTGGCTGGACGGCATTTCACATCCACGTTATGGAAAATTGCCTGGAGAGGCAAGGCCATGCAAAAAGTGACAGTGACAGTGACAGCTACAGCTACAGCAGCAACAGATTTTGAAAGTTACAATGAGCTGTGGCATTTTCAGTGATTATTTGGTAATGTGTCACATTAACTGCACCTTCATAATGTATGCATAATACATGCATAGAACATTTAATGTACCTTTATAATGCATCGTAGAACATTCATAAGCAGCATGTAAGTATACCTTAACATGTCTTAAGGCGTCGCATTCATAATACATTCAATGATCAGACATGACAACTGTAAATATAAATAAATTAATATACATCACAGATAAACATTAAAATCATATAATCATATAATGCTTGTTATCAATATATATTAAAGCTGTTAAGGTATGTTAGGATGTTAAGGTATACTTACATGCTGCTTATGAATGTTCTATGAATGCATTATAATGCATTATGAAGGTGTGAAAGTTCTATGAATACACACCCGCTAGGACCAACAGAGGGACATTCAACAGAGTCTTTATTGCACAATGCTGTGGCACTAGAAACTTGGGGCGGGCAGAATCGTGGTCGTACAGGCAGGGTCGAAAACCAGGAGATCGGGAAGGCCAGGGTCAGGATCCGGATTTGTTATCGGGGTCGCAGGCAAATGGGTCGAGAGCCAGGATATCCGTCCGGTGACACAGACACTGCACACGGGGGGTTCACGAAGAGGAAGAGCGAGGGGAGGAAGGGCAGGAGGGATGTCGAGACGGGTTGTAGGAAGAGTCGGGCAGGGCAAGCAGGGTGTAACGGAGCTAAACGAAAGACAGGGAAAGTTATGCTCAGTTTGTATCTAATCATCTACAATACCTGCACCGGGCTGCGGTGCTTTCGGGTTTATATCCAACGTGGAGTCCCGGTATTGTTTGGGGCTGCCGCCTCCCATTGCCGGTTCACCGGGGGGGGTGTGACACTGTTTTTCTGCTATAATTTCAAAAATATTTATGTAAAAAACATTTTTTGAATTCTTGGTATGCTACTGTTTTCCCAGTAATATGTCTAAACAGTGAAATGAGATGACACTGAATGTCCTTTTGTCACCACTAATTTAAAAATAATTAGAAAGATAAATTGTGATTTTGAAAAACTTGGCATGCTACTGTTGATAAACACTAATAATCCATTAAATCACTGAAGTGGCACTAAATGCACTTTTATTGTCACGCCAGAGGAAATGCAGCGATTATAAAACAAAGGCTGTTTTATTTCCTCCACAGAATGTCTGGGAATCTGTCTCTGTTTTTGGCGACACCCCCAGAGCTGCAGGAAAACACATCCTCCAACTCCTCCTCCGCCCCGTGGTCCCCGGACTGGGCGGCCCCCACTTTCACCAGGGCGGCCCAGTTCCGAGTGGTGGCCACTCTGGTGCTCTTCCTGTTTGCGGCCGTCAGCAACCTATCGGTGCTGGGCAGCGTGGCGTGGGGGCGGGGCCGGAGACTGGCCTCCCATCTGCGGCCCCTCATCATGAGCCTGGCGGTGGCCGACCTCATGATGACCTTCGTTGTGATGCCGCTGGACGCCGTGTGGAACGTGACCGTGCAATGGTACGGCGGAGACGCTCTCTGCAAGCTGCTCTGCTTCCTCAAGCTCTTCGCCATGCACTCGTCGGCCTTCATCCTGGTGGTCATCAGCCTCGACCGGCGCCATGCCATCCTCCACCCCCTCGACTCCTTCAACGCCAGCCGCAGGAACAGGAAGATGTTACTCTTGGCCTGGTCCCTCAGCCTGCTTTTGGCCTCCCCACAGGTGGGTGGAACATTGAGAGTGCGGTGGCTGCTGATTGGCTTATTTTATGTTCTGAAAAGGTAAACAACTGGATTGGCACTAACAGGACCCAATCAGGTGGTAGAGAAATCAGTGGGAGAGGTTATCCTACTGAATGACAGGTGTTAAATCCATCTTGAGAAGGTCAACTCCTGCCTGCTGTGACCTTCGAAAAGCAAATCTCGTCCCCTATTCTCTAGCCCAGCATCTCCTGCACCTTGACATTTTGTGAGTGCTTGCTTTTTTCTCAGCAGACATACGTAGACTGCCTTCATGCTGTCAGGCTGTGTCAGAGCCGGGACCTCTCTCTACGCGGCTACGCCTGCTCGCACACACACAGGCTCTGGCTGTCAGTGCAGGAGACCTCAGGGTCCTCTGGGGCAATGCAGCATATGCAGGAAACAGGAGTCTAGCTCATTAAAACAAGCTATGTCTGCAGTGGAGGCCCACAGAGCATGGAGGAAGATGGGGATTGCCCATCCATGGCTTTGTTTAAGATGAAACATTAACAAACACCAAGACATTTGTTTCACTGCCAAATGCAAATAGTAACTCCTAGTTTTGTTTGGATATATATATATATAAGTTAATAATATTCATCACTTCCCCAGGAAGCCTGGTGTGAACATTCAAGGTGACTTCCAAAGCAGCAGAGTCAGCCAACTAATAATACAGACACTGAAAAAAATGGATGGTACATGGATCAGAGATTGATTATCAATCACAGAGTGATAACTGTTCTGGGGGGAGGGGGGCATGCGTTTGGTTAAATTTATAGCTGTGCGTCTGGGTATCACTTTTCCTTTTTCCTTAGTTTAATTATGTTTAAATTGCAATCCATTGGCAATCTGGCATTAAACTAAAAAGCGACAGGGGCCATTAAATGGAGACTTTCCACACGCCACATGACTTTTAAAACGTACAGATCCCCCTGGTTTGCACCATGAGACAAATGGCCTTCTCTTTTATTCCCTATTATTGATTTGTCAGGGGTAGACAGTATGTGTTTCAGTCATAGACAAAGGAACCTTTCGCATTTATATGGTGATAAAAATCCACCCTCCATATCAGTGGGATATTATTTTAATTTATTACCATTTATGTCATTGTGTCTTTCTGAAGAAAATCAAAATTTATATTGTGAGAAAGTAGCATCTCTGTGGCTGTATTTCTACACATGGACACACCTACCCACAGAAAGGTTTAGTTGTGCTATTCTCTACATTTTAGAATAATTATAGGCACATAAAAATTATTTTAAAAATACAAAAAACAAAAACCTACTTAAATTTATTTGTTGGGGGCAGGGTCAGCTCTGTGGGTTGAGACTCAGAAGGTTGCCGGTTTAAATTCCTGGGTCAGCAGAGTGATTCCACCATTGGGCCCTTAACCCCAATTACTTCAGGGACTGGTTGACCCTACGGTCTCCTCTACGCCAGTTTCATGAGGTGGCCTCCTGGGATGCTTTTCCAACTGTCCTGAAGGAGGTTCCACATAAATGCTGAGCACTCATTGGCTGCTTTTCCTTCACTCTCTGGTCAAACTCCTCCAAAACCACCTCTTATGGGTTTAGCTCAAGTGGCCAGGTCATGTGATGCGACTGTAGCACTCTCCTTTTGCAGGTATCTTGGCGAATCCAAACTTTTGACTGGTAGAGATCCTGATGAAGATGGTCTCCCATCCAGGGTGTCCCCTGCCTTGTGTTCTGTTCTGCCTGAGCCAGGCTTCAGGCCTAGCGTGAACCAGAACCAGGCTAACGACGCCCAGACAATAGATAATACAAATCGATCATATCAGTACTAATCGAAACGTGTATTTACGTTACGAAGAAAGCGTGAATTTGTGTCATTCTATGACAGCTTAGATCTTTCACAGACCAGCACCAGTCTTCATACTGTATTTGTGATTTCTCACCTGAGCACTGTGGGTGATTTTGAGCCAATTGCATGCCACCTTTTATCTTGTCAACACCACAGCTCTTCATCTTCCGGGCCATCAAGGCTGATGGTGTGGACTTCACCCAGTGCGTGACCCACGGGAGTTTCCGGCACCGCTGGCAGGAGACGGTCTACAATATGTTCCACTTTATCACGCTCTATGTTGTCCCCCTGCTGGTCATGAGCGGATGCTACACCCGCATCCTCATTGAGATCAACCAACAGATGCTCAAAAGCAGAGGTACCTATTTCTCTTAGTTAATTGAGAAATAGTCCCATTGCATTTACGAGGTGATGATAGTGTGTAATGAATTATCCCTCAGCTGATTTAAAAGTGACCTCAAAAGTAAAGGAACCACCAATCTAAAGTATCTTATGAGACTGCTGGGCTACTGTCAGATGCCCTGCACAGATTCAATGTGTTCACATTGTACACGTGGTGTGAAACCAAACTCATAGTCCATTTCTGTACCTTAAAAGGTACATTTACATACAGCTATAGGCTACAATTAGCTGACCCTTGAGGGTACAGCCCTAGTGACAAGCAAAGGTACAAGTTGGTACTCTTTTTTCTGACAGTGTGGTACGGACTTCAGTTTACCTATACCATGACAAGAAATACATCTTGCACCATAACAGAGTTGCCAGAACCTTTCACCATTTGCCGAAGAGACACGGATCTGCAAACACCTTTACACAAAGAACGAAGAGTCGTTAATTTCCAAATTAAAAAACCAACTGCTACGTGGAAACACCATCTACCAACTGACTAGTGATCTTAATAGCTAAAGGATCTTAGTGGCTGTGTTGTTGGTGTGGAGAACCAGGGCTTCATCCTTCTCTCAGGCAGCCCCTAGCAGAATTGCTGAGGTATTCTGGAAAGTATATGCAGTGGTACCTTGGAACACAAGCTCAATTTGTTCTCAAAGGCTGGTCAAGTTGCCATTTGGTTGAGGTCCAAGTCGCATTTCCCCATAAGAAATAATGTAAATGAATTTAATCCATTCTAGGCTCCCCAAGTGATTGCTTATTTAAACTTATCTACCTACCTGACTAATGATTAAAAAAAGCATTGACAATCAATATAAAATAACAAATGAAAAATCACACATACAAAAGCAATAAATATGAAACAAATGACAATTTATCAGCACTTTACCTGTATTGAGGAGGGCTGATGGCATACTGGACATGGCAGGTGGAGAGGAGAGGGATGGTGGCACAAGTCCCAGTCCATACAAATTTTAGCAGGTCTGTTTTGTTTTGTGCTGCTCTGACACTTTGGTCGAGCTGTGGCTAGACTTTTCTCAACTGACCCATCAAGGTCTAAATTGGTAGAGTTGAATGCATCTCGACCTATACAAGTTTTAGCAGGAATGGTCGAGTTCCAAGATTTCAGGCAAGGTACAAGTCGAAAAAGATTCGACAGACCCGCTCGACGTCCGAGTTGGTCAAGCTGAGAGCTGTTCGAGTTCCAAGGTTCTAGTGTATAGGAAAATATACTGTATAAACTAATTAATTAGGAACGAGAGCATATACAGCATCATTCTGCTATGAGAACAGATTAGTTATCAACATTGTTAAATGTGATGAGAGTTGTAAGTAAAACTTAAGTAAAGCAACTGAGGAGGCATCAGTGTGTGAAGCTGCATGTAAAGGTCACTATCTCCTAAAGATAAAGATGCAAATGTTCTTCATGTAAAGGTCACTATCTCCTAAAGATAAAGATGTGAATGTTCTTCATGTAAAGGTCACTATCTCCTAAAGATAAAGATGTAAATGTTCTTCATGTAAAGGTCACTATCTCCTAAAGATAAATATGTGAATGTTCTTCATGTAAAGGTCACTATCTCCTTAGGCACAGAGCCATGCTTGAGACGTAGCGGCACAGACATGATCCCCAAGGCACGGATGAAGACTCTTAAAATGACCATCGTCATTGTGGTGTCCTTTGTGGTCTGCTGGACTCCCTACTACCTGTTGGGCATCTGGTACTGGTTCCAGCCAGAGATGCTGCGAGTGACGCCTGAGTATATCCACCACATCCTATTTGTGTTTGGAAACTTCAACACCTGCTGCGACCCCATCATCTATGGTCTGTACACCCCTTCTTTCCGTGCCGACCTGGCTGCCTGCTGGTGTCGTCGGTCCCGGAACTCCTCCCCAAGATCACTGGAGCACCTTTCAGCCCGAAGGGGGGCTGCCAGCGGCGAGGCCGAGTCTGATATCCCCAGCGGTGACCAGCACAGTAGCATTCAGCAGTAGAGATCAACAAGCGACCTGCGAGAGTCCTTCACTGTCATGTCATGCCCTCCCTGTGGATGCAGATTCTGAGTGTCTATTCATAGAAACTTCCATGACTCAGTATCATAGGATTATGATTCACTTCTCGTGCCATAAAAAACGATGATATACATATTTCTTGGATGGAAACTCATAGTTTCAATATCACTCGTAATTCTGGAATGGAATTTTACCTCACTTCTGTGATTAAGCATTCTGAAACTGTGGTTCACTGACTACTTGTTACGTGCTGGTGAATATAATATTGCCTTCACTGGAAGCTCAATACATATCTCTTAAGCTTTGTCATTTGTGCTTCACGCCTTCTTCCATTATCATCAATATAGAGTAATAAACCTTAAGCAGTTATTCAAAAGTTTGTTATTTGCTCAAAGTGACCCTACGAACAGAAGTGCACTTGTAAATGAATGAGCATTAGGTTTGGTAAATTATAACACAAAATAAATGAATAAATCATGAGGCATGATAAAGACTAAAAAAACATAAAATATTCAGAGAATACAGTGTTCATCTTGCTTTTCATTTTGCAAAGAGAGCAGTGTATCCCTTGTCATACTTGTGACAACTCATATCATTAGCGATGTAACCAGTTTTGTAAAAATAAACTATTAATATGAACAATTTATTGTGCAAACATATGTGCCTAATATCTATTATTTTAATATTGTTTGTTGTGTTATAATTTAACTGCTTGATTCTTAAAAAGGAGATATATACAAATAAAACAGTGAACTGGCAAAACTTTTTAAAACTAAAAAATGAGTAGATATGACTGTTTAGCAGTTATTTATTATTGTTATTTTTCCACATTCACTAGCAATTTGTTAGACAGCAGGAAATTATACCTATGATGGTCCAAGTATTATACCTATGATGGTCCAAGTATTTAACCTTTCATATTATTTGTGAAATTTACCTGTGATATACATTACCAGTCAACATTTTTTTTGCACATTTGTATGTTACTCACTTAACATTTACTAAAAATACAATCGATATTTTTTGGTAACAAATAAATGTACATTATGTTCGCCAATGAGAATACCATCATTAGCAAGAAAATGTCATGTCTTTGATTCATAAAAGTAGCCTCCTCTAGCAGTTGTAACAGCAGAGAAAATTCAAGGCATTCTTTTATACAAGGGACATTAAATACTGCTCTGTTTTATGGGATGAAACAGTTAAAGGACAGTCTAGAATTCAACTCTGCCATCACCACACAACCAGGTAACAAGATGTCAGACATGCAGTGTTACATACTCTTTCTATGCTGCAAAGGAAACTTCTTTTATTTGACTTAAATTTTCATTTATAGTTTTTCACTCAACTTTCCAATACTTATCAAGAACAAAAGTTCTGCAGTTTATGAATCAGTGGAAAAGTAAATACCTGTGTTGTGTAAACACGTTGACTGGTACTTTATAACTTAAAGCAAAGACAATCCTCAATCCAATACCTGCAGATTATTTGCTACCTGCACTTTAAAACAGGTCATTGCTTTTATTTTGCTTTCTCACCTCCTAAATTTATTTCAGGCCATGTCACAGCGCTGTGTCTTTGTTTTCCCTAATGAATTATTTATTTCCATCTGCTTCACTGGTCATTTGAACTAGCTCTGCCATATAACAGGTTCAATTTATTGGATTTTATTTGATTGACAAAAGATTTCCAGTCAAAAAGTGATGCTTTAGTTCAGCTAATGCTAACATTTGCCTATACAGTATGTAGTCTTTTGGCAATAAGATGTATCGAAGGTGGACATTTTAAAGACAGATAACTTCTATGTGGAAGTGTTGTCATGCTTTAAATTTCTTGCCTTATTTGAGGGTTTGTAGCTTATTTGAGGGTTTGTAGCTTATTTGAGGGTTTGTAGCTTATTTGAGGGTTTGCCTTCTGTTATTGTACGACAGCACCTTGTGTAACAGATGCAGGCAGTAAAATCAAAAAGCCTCCTCTGATTTGCTACTTGTCCTGTTACCCTAATTTACTGATTGACTGGAAAAACTCAATGACAGACAGAACACTGCTGTCTACAGTATTTACAGTTTTGGTGAAGTTGTCTTTGTGTCTTTTTGTGCCTGTTGGCTGCCATATATGTGAAACAAACATTCAAAACTTCCAGTGTGGACCTCTGTGAAATTAACTAGGGGTTCAGAATAAAAAAATTATAATACTATAAAAATTATAATTATAATAAAGTATATTTGTGTCCGCTATCATGTTTGTACATGAAATATTGATTTAGACAATAAAAATATTGTTAATATAATTAAATTTGTCACTGTGATTTCAGTTTAAATCACACATTTTCAAGAACCGCTTATATAATTGAGATTAAGTGTTGTATAAAAAATTGCCAGTAATTAATTCACTTGCCAGGTGAAGGTAAAAGGTGGAGGTTGGATACTGGAAATTCCAGGTTTTCCTCGTCTTGGTCAGTCTATGTTGCTCTGCTAGGGGTCCCACCAGCCATGCTTACAGGCCAGTAGGAGAAGACTTGTGGGCCAGCGCTCTGTAGTTAGCATGAGAGGATAACGGGAAGAAAAGGAGGAAGGACTTGATTATTACTACTTATTGCTATATCCCTTAATCCAGTTTCTGCTATCTGCACACCCTGATCCCCATGAGCGTTATACCTACAGGACTGGTTCGTCTATATTCCACTGTTAGTAATTTGACAAAGACTTTGAAACTGAAATAAATCCCTCAATAAAATGCCGGACCAATGCAAATGTATTGGTCTAGAGATAGTGAAGAGGTGGTGATGACATTCAATAAGTGGAGAAGTTGGAAATAATTAATGTCAGCTACTCAACACTGATACAGGTAACTAGTGTGACACTGATCATTCCACAGATTGTGCTCATTTTGTCATTGTTACAGCTTCTTTGTTTTTAGGAGATGACTACTGCTCAGGAGAAGGACAGCGGATGCTGTGCAGCGTGTCAGAGCTGTGCTGTCAATGAGTCTGATGCCGCTCTCAGCTCAGAAGGCTGAAGAGGCTCAGGCTTCATAATGACGTTTAGCTACGTGTTATTCTTTATGGGTACACAGCTCATATTTAAATATATTACATTGTTATTTGCCTGTGTTTTGCGACTGCTTTAGGGATCGCTTGTGAGGTTTCAACGTGTTTGAATGTTATGTCTTAATTTTCTTCATTCATTCATTCATTATGTTAATAGTATGGGCAAATGAAACTGATTTATTTTCATGAGCAGACTGACTTTGAAAAAAAATCATGATGTTAACCAGTACAATGTACAGGAATCTATCAGTGAAATGAGATGGATCAGCCTCAAGGGCAGAGGTTTGGTTTCAACATTAGTAGGGAACCAAATCAGTCCCCAACCCCCCCAAACACATACACTTCAAAATGCCCGTTCATTGAATATTCAAAGACCTTAATTAAGCATTAAAAGTCAACAATAGATTTGCCAAAAAATGTGTTTACTAAAAAATTAGGTTTTCGAAATTAACATATTATAAAAATATATAACAAAAATATCAAAGTCAAAGACAAGAATTAAAGAGAATAGACTAATAATACAATAATTATTTGGGAAATAAAAGGAAAATCATACTGGCTTTCACATAAAACCACAATACATTAGTTAGGCCTATTTAATTTGTTGCCATCCATCTTCTGTAATCACTTGTCTTATTCAGGGTTGTGGGGGGTCCAGAGTCTATGGGCATAAGGCGGGGGCCCACCCAGGATGGGGCGCCAACCCATCACAGGGCACACATACCCCATTCAATCATGCATGCAGACCTATGGGCAATTTGGCAACTCCAATTAACTTCAGCACATTTTTGATCTGTGGGGGGGGGAATGGCATGCATAGAGGAAACCTCAACACGACACCCGGAGAACATGCAAACTGCACACACATGGAGCCACGGTGGAGACTGAAACCCTGATCCCAGAGGCGAGAGGCAACAGTGCTAACCACTGCGCCACTGCGCCAGCCAACTTTCTGCCAGTGTAGTGAATGCTGAATGAAAAAATTAATGAAGCTTGTGTGTTACTGTGTGCATAGCTATCATAAAACAATTAACCACTGAAACCAAGCCACGCATAAAAATTGTACCAAACAGTGATTTGAAATTGCCATGATGTGTGGATATAATAAACAAATCAAATGGTATCCGTAATCACTCATTGCGCTCTCATCTCCAGTAACTGCACGCTTCCAGTTGCTACTGGAAATCACAAACCTCGCGCGAATGTTTGCATAGAGTAGGTCTGTTTTTAGTTTACTTCTCTCACCTCCTTCGTGAACTTAAAAGAGGATGACAATGAGCTGGTGAGAAAGATGAGGAAGGAAATAAGACATTATTGGGAGGCACGCTTGATTTTGCACAAGAAATGGCAGCAGAAGGAGACATTTTTCCTTTCATTCTACTCTCAGGATCTTAATGTGAAAAAGTTTTGAGGTTGCCATAAATTTTGGCAGGGACAGTTTGGTACTCCCTTATATTGGCTGGGACAGTTTGGTACTCCCTTATATTGGCAGGGACAGTTTGGTACTCCCTTATATTGGCTGGGACAGTTTAGTGCTCCCTCATTTTTGGTAGGGAACTGTCATTACTGTCCATACCGAAATCTACACTCTTGATCAATGCTGAGGTGGTGTAGCACTTTTCAATCAGACCGACCATCCTGTTGTCAGGTCAGGCTGATATCCTGCAGTCCCAGCTATTATCTAATGGATCACGCTGGATATCTTACCCTAATCCAATGTGCTCCTTCTCTTTCTGAATTTTTCCTCCCAAACCAGCTATTGGAGCAAATGAGATATCAGTGAGTCACAGGAACAACTGATATTTTGAATTTTTCATGACTGATGGAGGTCAGGAGAACAAACAACTGAAATCCACTACAAATCCCATTTGAAGATGCTCTAAAATATAGCTCACTGTGTCATAAATGTTTATGAAAACTGGGTGATACAAAGTGAAGAGGCAAGTTCAGATCAATGCTGCAATAATAAAAGCACTATGCAAAATCACAACTCAGACATGTTTTAGTATTTGCACTGTTAGTACCGCTATATTCTAACATAGCTCAGAAACTTCAGATGTCTGTATTACTTGAGCTGTTTGGGGCCACTTTGTAGTTCTGCACCAGAAGTCATTGGTGAGGTTCAAGAGGAAGTGGATCTACAGGTAGATGTATCGCTTTGATCACTGAGCTGCAGAATGCATCCCATTATGCTAATGAGGTAGAGTTTTTCACTAAAGGTCTTACAGTCCATTCAAATCAAACATACTAAACTGCGTATAAAGTTTTAGCAAATGGTGTTGTATAATTCAACATTCATTAAAATGCATGTTGTATGTTTTTAATTTAGGAAACATGTAGAAGAAATATAAAGCACTTACCAGACTTTCACCTAAAAAATAGTAACGTAAAATATATTCCATGGATGCTAAACACATTGTTTGGCCTTTTAGGGACCCCAGTCAAAGGCTGGCAGGATGTTCCTCACTTCAGGAGGCACCATTAACCCTGCATGTGGCTCAGTAACTAGAGTGTTATGCTACCAGTGCACCGTAGGTTCAGATATCAAGGAGCCCTTCTGTCAGCTGTAAGTCAGCTTTAATAAAAGTGTCAG